TTAATGCCATGAATTGTACGCTTAAAAATGGTCAAAATGGTAATTTTTAGGTTATGTATATTTTACACAATAAAAAATGTATCTTGGGAATGTTTAATTCCTATTATAAAAGGATTTCCTATGATTCTTTAATATAATATAATATAAGGGAGCTTTAATATAAGCTCTCTTTATTTAAACTATTTTATACAACTTTTGAAGATTCACACCAGCTACTTTATGAAGGTTCCACTTAAAATTGATTGTATAACATCTGTAGTTCATCTCAGTTCGTTTTCTAAAATAGATTATTAAAGAACTGATATTCACCTGGGGCAAAGGTCTTAGCTTTTTTCTGCATCCAGGTTTTCCACTTGTGAAAGAAAATGTCTCTTCAGGGGACTTCAATCATCAGCTTGCTCTTCTCTTAGAAAGAGGATGCTGGTATTTAGGCTTCACAAAAATATTTCATAAACATAAGCTTTCTTTTCTCTCAAACATACCAGGAGGAATGAGGAAAACAGATGTTCCTTGTAAGTCTTCTGATAGACGTGTTTCCATTGTAAGCTGATCTGACTAAATTTGTCATCTGTTCCATTCACTGTGTGGGCTGAGCAGTTTAGTCTCACAGTTTGGCTGAAAGTTAATATCGACCTTTGACTGTTACCTGAAAACCCATTGATAAAATACTCTTACTAAACCTCTTGAGAGAGTGATTTCACTTTCTAAGCAAACGTCTTCAAAATACATCACTCCATTAACCAAATTAATTATTCTTTGGTTGGGCGTACTTATTTATTTTATTGGATACAGAGCATTCCCCAAATCTGACAGGGATAAGCCTGTGTGGTCAGAATGGTAGAAGAGAAAGAACATAAATCTCTTATAATGCTCTCTACAGGTCACTACACCACAGCTTTTAAATTAACCTTCACCCCCCAGCTGCCCAGGGGCTATGGGAGGGCCTAAAAGTCTGGCTACAGAGCAGTTTCTCATTATCATCTGTTCTTCTGAGTATTTGAGTACTGCTACAGCAGCTCGGGTTTTCCTAAGAGGGAAGTAGCCCCAGATTCTTCTGTTCTTGACTATCTTATTTATAACTACGACAATTTTTTATATAGTTTTATTGCAGTATAATTGACATACAGTAAACTGCACATGTTTAAAGTTACAGTTTTACAAATGTTGAATGATGTATACACCTATGAAACCATCACCATGGACATATCTACTGCTTCCATGCTACTTGGATTGTTTTCCAGTTTCGGGCTATTCCAAGTAAAGATGCTCTGAACATTCATTTACAAATCGTGGTGTGGAAAAATGCTTTCCTTTACCTTGGGTTAAATACCTAGAAATAGAAAAACTGAGTCATATAGTAGGTGTATGTTTAACTTTTTAAGATGCAGATAAATGGTTTTCAAAGGGGGGTTTATCATTTTATAGTCTCACAATCAGTATATGAGAGTTTCAGTCGATCTGTACCCTTGTCGACACTTGGTTTGTCAGTCTTTTTAATTTTAGCCATTCTGGCGGGTGGGCAGTGGTATCTAATGGTGGCTTTAATTTGCATTTCTCTAATGAATAATGATGTTGAACATCTTTTCATGTGCTTATTTGATATCTGTTTATCTTTGCTAAAGTGTTTGTTCAACACTGTTGCCCATTTTTTATTGGGTTGTTTCTTGTTATTGAAGTATAAAAGTGTTTAATTTGGCAAAGTCAAAATTATTTTTTCTCTCATAAAAGTTTATACTTTTGGGCTTCCCTGGTGGTGCAGTGGTTGAGAGTCCGCCTACCGGGGCATGGGTTCGTGCCCCGGTCTGGGAAGATCCCACATGCCGAGGAGCGGCTGGGCCCCGGAGCCATGGCTGCTGAGCCTGCGCGTCTGGAGCCTGTGCTCCGCAACGGGAGAGGCCACAACAGTGAGAGGCCCACGTACCGCAAAAAAAAAAAGAAAAGTTTATACTTTTTATGTCTTAAGAGATCTTTGGCAAGTCCAAAATCACTAAGATTTCCTCCTAAGTTTTCTTCTCAGAGTTTTATGGTTTTAGCTCTTACATTTAGACCTATGTTTCATTTCAAGTTAATTTTTGTGGTTGATGTGAGGAAGAGTAGAAGTGGGGGCTTTTGTTTTTGTTTTTTTTCCACATATGGCCATCCAGCTCTTCTAAGAACATTTGTTTAAAAGATTACCCTTTCTTCATTGAATTACTTAATACCTTTGTAAAAATCAATTGTCCATATAGAAGTAGGTTTATTTCTGGACCGTCTATTCAGTTGCATTGATTTGTCTTATCTTTATGCCATAATGTCTCAATTATTGTAGTTCTGTAATAAGTTTTTTAATCAAGTAGTCTTCTTTTCAAAGTTGTGTTTTGATTAGTCTAAGTTCTTTGCATTTCCACATAAATTGTAGAATCAGCTTGTCAGTTTCTGTTAGAAAAGTCTGCTAGAATTTTGGTTGATATTACATTGAATCAGTAGAGCTGGTAACAATATTGAATCTTCTGATCTCTGCACACTTTATATCTATTCATTTACTTAGCTTTTTAAAATTTCTCTCAGCATTGTTGTTTTGTTTTCTTAGCACTGTTTTGTCATTTACAGTGTAAATAAATGTCTTACACAGCTTTTGTCATATTTAGCCCTAGGTATTTCACATATTTGATGGCATGGTGAATAGTATTTTAATATCAATTTTGCTGGCATATACAATTGCTATATATACACATTACTAGTACAGAAATCCAATTGATTTTTGCATAGTGATTTTGTATCCTGCAGTTTTACTAAACTCACTTAGTAGTTCTAGTAACTTTTTTCTAGATTCCATAGGATTTTCTACATAGACCAGGATTTCTCAGTCTCGGCATTATTGACATCATAGGATATTTAACAGCATCCCTGGGCTCTACCCGCTAGTTGCCAGTAGCACCCTCTGCTGCAGGTTTGACAACCAAGAACGTCTCCAGACATTGGCAGTTTTGCCCCCCAGAGAACATTTGCCATTGTTGAGAACCGTAGACATAGACAGTCATGCCATCTGCAAATGAAGACAGTTTTACTTCATTTTCAGTCTTGATGCTTTTTCTTCTTTCTTCTGTTTGCCATATTGCACTGGCTAGGGTCTCCAGTACAATGTTTAAGAACAAACTTTCTTTCCTTGTTCTCAATTCTAAGGGAAAAACATTCCATCATCCACCATTAAGAATGATATTAAATGCAAGTTTTTCACAAGTGCCCTTTATGAGGTTGAGGAAGTTCCCTTCTATTCCTAGTTTGCTGAAAGTTTTTTTTTAGAAACTGATCTTGGATTTTGTCAGATGCTTTTTCGGCATCTGTGAAGATGATCTTATGGTTTTCTTAGTTAGTGTGGTAGATTACATTGATTGGTTTTTGAATGTTAAATCAACCTTGTATTTCTGGGATAAATGCTGGCTGATTATGATTTATTATCTTTTTAAAAATATACTACTGGATTGGATTTGTAAAATATTTGCATCTTTTCTGATTTTGGTATCAGTAATGCTGGCCTCAAATAATGAGTTGTGAAGTATTCTCTCCTTTTCAGTTTTCTGAATAGTTTGTATAGCATTGACATTATTTTTCTTCCTTAAATATTTGGTAGAACTCAACCAGTGACACCATCTGAACCTGGAATTTTCTTTATTTATGTGCTTTTAATGTGCTTTTTAATTATAAAATCAAATATTTAATATATAGAAGGCTCTTCAGGTTATCTATTTCTTCCTGAGTGAGCTTTGATAGTTTGTGTCTCTCCAGAAGTTTGTCCAATTTAACTGGTCAGATCTATTGGCATAAAGTTGTTAATGTTTCCTTATTATCCTTTTAGCGTGTGTAGATGCTATAGTGATGTCATATCTCTTATTACCAATATTGGCAATTTATAGCTCCCCTCTTTTTTTCCTGATCAGTCTGTGTAGATGTTTAATTTTATCCTACTTTGACTCCCAAATCCATCTTCTCAAGTCAGTGAAACTGTCAGGCTCTGCCTAGGCTGTCCTTCCATGTGTTGTGGCCCGGTAACTTTTGCAGTTTACCCCATTTGTTTCCCTTCTTTCATGGATCTTTTGTGGCTGATGTACAATATTTGAAAAACTTTGTTGCATGTGCTTTGTTTTTATTTTAAAGTTGTTTCTGGGCTTCCCTGGTGGCGCAGTGGTTGAGAGTCTGCCTGCCAATGCAGGGGACACGGGTTCGTGCCCCGGTCTGGGAAGATCCCACATGCCGCGCAGCGGCTGGGCCCGTGAGCCATGGCTGCTGAGCCTGTGCGTCCGGAGCCTGTGCTCCGCAACGGGAGAGGCCACAACAGTGAGAGACCCGCGTACTGCAAAACAATAAATAAATTAAAAAGTTGTTTCAGGAAAAAGGGTAAATCTGGTTCCTTTTATTTCATGTTGGTCAGAAGCAGAAGGCCTGTTTCCTACCTTACCATATTTATTTTAATGTCAAGCCCGTCCATGGTGCTTGACTATAGAAATTATTTCGCTGTTACTTCTGGGAGTGAAAGAGGTATAAGGTCATTCATAACTTTTCAACTCTCAAATTTGTTCTTTGAGAGATATCCAGATATTTTTTCCAAATAGCAATTTTCTAGGTATAACATCAATACAGAAGGAATCCAGAGAGATAGGCAGAGGCATAACTAATAATTTATCAGCTGTAAAGACCCAATATAATATTACTTGACCAGTATTTCTTACTTATAACCTTTTAATCTCAGAGTTAAAGTCTCCTTATCAAGGAAAGCATGATAGTTTAGGCTTAGAAAGACTAGGTTGACTTGGTGGTGAGTTGTCACATCCCGACTTGAGCTCTTTAAAAGAGCTCTTTAAAAGAAATATTAGGAAAGAACTCTCTAACCCTAGAGGTTTGACACTTCACTATCAAGACTGAAAAAAGGCATAGGTATGTAGACCGTTTTTCGTTCTGACCCATATGACATTTCTGATGCTGTTACACAATACTCATGTATTTCCCTTTTGTCTGTGTTCCAGGTTTTCTGTCTCAGCTGGTCTCTGACAAGCCCCTGACTGAATGCATCCGTGCTGGCCACTATGCAGCAAGTGTCATAATTAGGCGGACTGGCTGCACCTTTCCTGAGAAGCCAGACTTCCACTGATGAAAAAGCAGGAAACCGCAGCCCAGGAGTACAGACACTGCCCTGATGGCTTCCTGAGAATTCCCATATTAATAAAGAAGAAAATTAAATGCTACCTTTCCTACTATAATAATGTTCATCTTAATTTAGAGGGTACAGTAGTACACACTAGAATCTTTATTCTCTCAGCAACCTAAAATCGGAGGTTTATTTCCATAGTTTGATAGTGCCACTTAAATGTCAATTAAACAGGAATATAACATTTCAATAGAAATTTTGTTTCATTTTTATTACTTTGTAAATTCATGTGTACTTAGTAAAGTGATCATTTTTTTACATTTCTGCTTTGAATGCAGACGCAATTTAATATGATAGATTTTTTAAAGGAATTAAAGATAATATCAGTATATAAATCTTTAGCTTTTATACAAGTATATTTAATTCAGAAGTGTGTGTACAAATATATATACACACATATGTTCATATATGTACCACATATATACATGGTAAATGGTTAAATAAGGTACAGAAATATTTATCATGCCAAGTTATGCCAAGTAATTTCTTCAGTGTGTACTCAAACATGTAATAAACTTTGGATAATTAAATAATTTGCCAAATTATAAGCTATATTACAATATTCAAGTCATAATCTTATATTTACTTATGGTACTCTGTAATTTGATACAAATAAAAACTTGTCATATGGGACTTTTTTTCTGTCTTTGCCCTGTGCTCTGCAAACTAAGGAAGAAAGATCATTGTTTAATCCTGGGTCCTGAAATAATATCTGTTTTGTTGATGGAGACAGAAAGAACAACATAACACATTGAAAAATAACTTAGTATTAGAGACCAGTAAGCCACTGTTTTAAGGAAGACAAAATGGTGTAATAGAACCTCCAGGAAATTCCCTGGCAGTCCAGTGGTTAGAACTCCGTGCTTCCACTGCAGGGGGCACGGGTTCAATCCCTGGTCGGGGAACTAAGATCCTACATGCTGTGCAATGCGGCCAAAAAAAAAAAAATCTCTAAAACAAAAGAACCTCTGGAGTCAGACTTAATTACCTTGATATGACCTTGGGCAAATTACTCAGCCTCTTTGAACTTCAACTTCCTTTCTATAAAATGGGATCATAACCCCTGTACAAGGTCATTGAGATAATTTGAGAGAGAATACTAAGTATAAACTGCTTGTTACAAGTCTAATAAGTACCTACTGTTGTAATCATTATGATTATTGTTGAAAAAAAAGATCATAGTTATAAAACTGAATTCAAAGCATTCAGGTTTTTGTTTTGTTTGTGTTTAAGTAAACTTTTAGGTCTCCTGTGCTTGTTTATCTTTATCATTGTTGAGATATAATTCATATACCATAAAATTTTTCATTTTAAAGTATACAATTCAGTGGGCTTTAGTATATTCACAAAGCTGTGCAGCTGTCACCAATATCTAAATCAAGAACACTTGCATCACCCCAAAAGGAAACCCAATTCACTCCCCATTCTCTGGTAACCACTAATCTATTTTCTGACTCTATAGATTTGCCTATTCTTGATATTCATAAAAATGGAGTCATGTGTTCTTTTGTGTCTTGCTTCTTTCACTTAGCATGTTTTCAAAGTTTGCCCACCCTAGGACATTTTCAGTACTCTTTTTATTGTCAAATAATATTTCTTTAGATATACCGTATTTTGTTTATCCATTCATGATGTACATTTCAGTCGTTAACATTTTTGGGCTGTTATGAGTCATGCTTCTATTAACAATCACATACAGGTTTTTGATGTGGATGTATGTTTTCAGTTCTTTTAGGTATATACATAGGAGTAGAATTGCTGGATCACATGGTAACCGTACGCTTAACTTTTTGAGAAACTGCCAAACTTTTTTCCAAAGGGACTGCATCATCTTGCCTTCTCACTAACATGGTTTGAGGGTTTCAATTTTTTCACACCCTTGCCAACATTTGCTACTCTCTGTTTGATTATAGCCATCTTGGAGGGTATGAAGTTCTATCTCATTGTGGTTTTAAATATATTTATTTTATTTATTTATTTTTGGCTGCGTTGGGTCTTCGTTGTTGTGCACAGGCTTTCTCTAGTTGCGGCGAGCGGGGGTCACTCTTCATTGAGGTGCGCAGGCTTCTCATTGCAGTGGCTTCTCCCGTTGCAGAGCACGGGCTCTAGGTGCGCCGGTTTCAGTAGTTGTGGCTCGTAGGCTCTAGAGCGCAGGCTCAGTAGTTGTGGCGCATGGGCTTAGTTGCTCTGCCGCATGTGGGATCTTCCCAGACCAGGGCTCAAACCCGTGTCCCCTGCATTGGCAGGCGGATTCTTAACCACTGCGCCACCAGGGAAGCCACTCATTGTGGTTTTAATTTGCATTTTCCTGTTTACTAATGATATTATGTTTATTGACCATTTGTATTTTTTTCTTTGGAGACATGTCTATACAGATTGCTTGCCCATTTTTTAATTGAGTGGTTTGTCCTTTTGTTGTTGAGTTGTAAGCATTCTTTATATATTCTGGGTATATTTTCTTCCATTCTGTGGGTTGTGTTTCCACTTTCTTGCAGGTATCCTTTGAAGCACAGATATTTTTGTTTGTTTGTTTTTGTTTTGGCCATGCTGCACAACTTGTGGGATCTTAGTTCCCCAACCAGGAATGGAACCCGCATCCTGGGCAGTGAAAGCTTGGATTCCTAACAATTAGACCTTCAGGGAATTCCCCAGATGTTTTTAATTTGTATGAAATCCAGTTTATCTTTTTTCTTTTCTTTTTTTTCTTTTTGGTCAATTGTGCTTTCGGCTTCATATCTAAGAAGCCATTGCCTAATCCAAGGTCATGAAGAATTACATCTATATTCTCTTTTAAGAGTTTTATGGATTTTGCTCCTACATTTAACTCTTTGATCCATTTTGAGTTTATTTTCGCATATATTTGAGTTGGGAGGTCTAAATTATTTTACTTGTGGCTATCCAGTTGTCCCTGTACCTTTTTTTTTTCTTTTTTTTAATTTACTTTTTTTGGCCACCCCTTGCGGCATGTGGGATCTTAGTTCCCTGACCGGGGATCGAACCCGTGCCCCCTGCAGTGGAAGCTCAGTCTTAACCACTGGACCACCAGGGAAGTCCTCCCTGTACCTTATTAAAAAGACTTTTATCCACTAGTGAATTGTCTTGGCACCCTTGTCAAAAATTAATTGACCATAAATATAAGGTTTTATTTCTGGACTCTGTTCCATTGGTCTGTATGTCTGTATGTTATCCTTATGCCAATCCAGACTGTCTTGATTACTGGAGCTTTGAGTTTTGAAATCAGGAAGTCTGAGTCCTCCAACTTTGACTCTCAAGGACAATTAGTTTAAGTGCTAGAGTATCATATTAAAACTACTGTAGAATATCTTTCTCTTAGATCAATAGGTGAGACACTAATAAACCTTTCTTATTCTTTTTTTGATAAGAAAATCCCTTACCCCAAGGCTATTGATCAAGTGCCACTCACCAGCTAAACTTTTATGACAGTCGCTATTTATAGCAGGTTCTAAAGTATGCCTACTGGTAGTAATTAACATGAACACAGATCATGTAACTTTTTTTTTTTTTTTTTTGGCTGTGTTGGGTCTTCGTTGCTTTGCGCAGGCTTTCTCTGGTTGCGGCGAGCGGGGTCTACTCTTCTTTGTGGTGCGCGGGCTTCTTCATTGCAGTGGCTTTTCTTGTTGCAGAGCACGGGTTCTAGGCGTGCGGGCTTCAGTAGTTGTGGCACACAGGCTCAGTAGGTGTGGCTCGCAGGCTCTAGAACGCAGGCTTAGTAGTTGTGGCGCACGGGCTTAGTTGCTCCGCGGCATGTGGGATCTTCCCAGACCAGTGCTCAAACGCGTGTCCCCTGCATTGGCAGGCAGATTCTTAACCACTGCACCACCAGGGAAGTCCCACATAACTTTTCTTGTGTTAAAAAAAGTCATTAGGTTGTGTATTTTGTTCTTGGGTTTATGGCATACTTTTTTAGTTCTCTGTTTTGGTAAAGGACAAAGGGAAAATAACGGCTAGCCTAGCTGACTGGGTCTGAGGAAAACTGCCTTTAATTGGTTGTTAGGCAATCTCCTCTCTGACCTAAGTTTTTCCATCTTGGAATGAAGAGTAGTTAACCTAGTTCCACTTTATCTCATCCTGGTTTAACAGATAGTTGAGGGAAGACATATAGGGTGGGGGAAGAATAATGAAGTTGTCAAGAAGACATGGATTCTGGGCTTCCCTGGTGGTGCAGTGGTTAAGAATCTGCCTGACAATGCAGGGGACATAGGTTTGAGCCCTGGTCCGGGAAGATCCCACATGCCGTGGAGCAACTAAGCCCGTGTGCCACAAGTACTGAGTCTGCACTCTAGATCCCGCAAGCCACAGCTACTGAAGCCTGTGCGCCTACAGCCCGTGTTCCTCAACAAGAGAAGCCACTGCAATGAGGAGCCCGCACACCACAACGAAGAGTAGCCCCCGCTCACCACAGTTAGAGAAAGCCCACGCACAGCAAAGAAGACCCAATGCAATGCAGCCAAAAATAAATAAATAAATTTATATTTTAAAAAAAAAGACATGGATTCTGGCCTCAGGTTCCCTTCAGATAGTTGTGTAACCCTCTTATTCTATGTAATTCACAAAATGTAGATGCTTTGGTTGTGACATCCCTGAAATATGTACTAGTGGTTTTAACAAGGCTGCCTCTCTGAATGTGGGAAAAGAGGGTTCTTACCAGAGGAGTGAGCCACAAAGACTGAGGCCGTTCATTTGTGTGTTACAGTTGGGTAAATCAGGTGGGCACAGGAGACTTATACTTCAAGGGTGAGCCTAGGTGGTCTGGAGAGTTAGAACATTGAGGTTGGCCTAGTCTCAGCGAGTGATCAATTTTGCTTGAAAACTGCTTCCATGAGGTGGAAAAGAAGGTGGTACCAAACATTTGGAGACAGGCTGGATGCCCAAGTATTAGTATAGCAGAGTAGGAGAGAAAGAAAAAAGAGCAAGAGTGGCTATTGAGTTTCTTTCTAGTGTTTATATCTACATGATATGTACCTTTATGTACTGCTTTATTTCCTCGAATCAGAGAAGAGTAACTTTCTTTTTAGATCAGGGTGAGAGAAATACATTCTTTGTCTTAAACTTATTTAAGACAAGCAACCTTGGCTAAAAACTATTTTTCTTACCCATTTTGCAAAGCAAGTATTGTAATTCTTTACCCTTTCAGAAAGAGATGCATAATATAGATTGTCTTAGACATACACAAGCCTACAGAGAAAGTATATGTTTGGCTTGCAGTCTGATAATACCACCAGTGCTGAAATATAAAAACATGCACTTATTTCTGTTACTCCATTACCTTCAGAAAAAGTGTCCATTTAATAATATTTCCACTGGATAAAGTAGGTTTAAAATGTAAACAATTTATGATTCAGTAATAGTTCTATGTGCACGTCCTTCACTTTGTGTCCCCTTGGTCAAGTTCTTGAACTGCCCTGAGCCTTGGTTTTCTCAACTCAAAATGAGGAAAATATATCCACCCCCAGTGAGACAGTGTTAAGAGAATATGAGAGTTAAAACATTTTCTAAATAGTACAATAAATTTAAATGTGAAGTAGTTTGATATTTTACAAAAACACCAAAGCAACCCAATGGGAAAAGGAAAATCTTTTCAGTAGACAATGCTATTACAACTTGATTTTATTTTTACTTTTTATTGGAGTATAGTTGATTTACAATGTTATGTTAGTTTCAGGTGTACAGCAAAGTGAATCAGTTATACACATACGTACATCCACTCTTTTTTAGATTCTTTTCCCATATAGGCCATTATAGAGTATTGAGTAGAGTTCCCTGTGTTATACAATAGGTCCTTATTAGTTA